GTCCCTGTGGGAATTTGCCACAGTGGAGTGTGTGTGTGTCAGCATTTAGTTACAATCGTGATACATGCTTTGAAAGAAAGTACAGTGTTTTGATTAGGACAGGGGTTGCTAAGGAACTTTGTCTCTTGTCATGTTGGGGGAGAGGTCCAGGGAATTGTGGGAAAATGTATCTGGTTTCTCAGGTATTACAAGCAGGAAGTGACTTTTCTAGAAGGATGTGGGTAAGCTCCCAAAAAAGGAGGGAGGGAAAGCGGAGGAACTGGGCTCAGAAAGGACTAGAAACAAGGCGTAGCTTGGCAAAAAGGGCCCATGCCTCCAGGCAACCTCCGTCAGCAGGAATCAGTGTCAGCCACTCTGTCCTTGCTGAGGGCACCAGACTGGCTTGAAGTAGCCTTATAGGAGGGGCAGGCATCCTGATGGACATCTCCTGAGACTGAAGGGGTGAGGGTTGTTTCCCCAATGGACACCAGGTAGACCCAATAGCAACTCCTGTGGAAGGACAGTTCAGCCAGGGGCCCTTAGCTTTTTTGTACCATTGACACTTTCTTAGAAAAATGCTTTTTTTTTTTTTTTTCCTTTTTTTGTGTCCGGCAACGGATTGCAACCCTCAGTGTTGCGCCCGCACCTCGCTCAGCCAGTGAGCGGGAACCGGTCTGTATGTGGGATCCGAACCCTCGGCGGGAGTGCCGCCGCGCTCCCAAGCAGCGCACTGTAGCAGTGCGCCACTGGGCCAGCCCAGAAAAATGTTTTTATTATTATTTTTTTAATTTATTTATTGGACTTCTGATCAAGATAGTGGAATAGACGGACCCCAGCATCACTCTCTCCCACCATCGACCAATTTACAACTATAAAAAAGCAACAACAGGCAAGTTGGGGCTGCTAGAGCTCAGGGGAAGAGGAGGAGAGACCTATGGAGTGCATGAAGGTGGGAGAAGCCACGATGAGAGAAAGAAAGGTCCGCTCTGACCGTTTCAAGGCCCGGGCACTTCCAGACGGACCCTCGTGAGTGCACCGAGCAGGAGCCGGCAGAAGCCGCAGCTGTGCCCTTCAGAGTTGCTTGGAGGCCACAAGAAAGAAGAAGGCCTTGGTGGCCCCTAGGATGGCAAGACCACTAACAGGATTCCCGTGGACCCACACAGGAGCGAGGGGCCACAACAGCTGAAAAAAGGAGCCATTCAAAGGCCGGTGAGTTCCTGCGAGGAACTCGGGCATGGCCTGTCCCATGGGAAGTGTTTGGAGTGCAGGAAACAGGCCCACTGGGGCACAGCATGGACAGCTGATCTGTCCCCCAATCAGCGCAGGACCACTCAGTGGAGACTGGTCAGGAATACAGAACTGCAGGGGGTGCAGTTTGCTGAAAAGACTCAGGGCCAGACCGGAGTTTTCCACACAACCCAGGTGTACCTCACCAGACCTGGAAGTGCTTACAAGGTCAACCATTAAAACCTGAGTGGCAAAACAAACAAACAAACAAACAAGCCCCCAAAACCTCAGCTGCACAAAAAACCTTCCCCAGAGAATCAGCAGCAAAGCAGCAATTTAGCTCAATCACAGGGCTCAAGTGCTGGTCCCCACAGGAAGTTCCCTCATTTTAGAAGTCACCAAAGGACAACAAATTAGTTCCAGTGAAGAGTTTAAGTGGTGCGTGTAGCTAATATTCCAACGCAGAACTGAAAGAAAAAAACAAAAAACCCACAGATTGGAGGCAAAGTTATGATACTAACCAGTAAAGGTCTAACACCACCAAAGAACATCTATAAAACCTAGAAGGACCAGAAGCCATTGGGTTCCCAAGCCAGGGCAGTTGGGAACCAAAAGGCTCAGCCACGCCTCCCCCAGAGTCAGCATTCAGCCCAGCAAGGACTGGGCCACATCTGAAGCCCCCTGGGCTCCCCTGTTGGAATGAGGGGGGGCGGCACCCCCAGCCTTGACCACGCCCTCCCTCCCTCCATTTTCCTCCCACCCTAACCCCTTTCCTTTTTCCTCTCTCTCTCCCTCCCAACTGCTCCACAACATCTTAGAATGTAAAAATAAATACATATATATATATATATTTTTTTTTATAAGTTCTGAATACAGGAAAAAATAAATAAAATTAATTCTTTCTTTGTATTTTTTTGTCCTTTTTACAGTAATGTTTTTAAACGCATAAAACACCAGATTATGTAGGAAACCCAAGGTACTGAAACATTAGAAAGAACAAATATGTGAAATAATAGTACGTGTGCTTTTTTGTTAACTCATTAAAAAAATAACAGGATATAGTGGTGGCCTAGTAACCACTGCAATTTTGAAGTACAGATGAGTGTAAATAATATTTTGAAAAATCTGCAGCAACTGTAATGTGTTATGAAAATATCTGTTGCCACTGGGGCCAAAAATCACGGGTATTGTTAATACCACTGTGGCTGGTTGTCTAAGCTCATAATTGAGGAAAATGCTAAATTTAGGACATAAGAAATAAAAATGAAAATGTTTTCCCTACAGGACTCTCTAATTTAAGCTGAGAGCCTATCCTTCCGGCATTTTGTAAAAATGTCAATGGTACAGAGTTACATTAAATAAACACGTTATACAGTGGCGAATTTAGGGGTGATTCCATTTTTTTAATCAAACAAACAAACCAAAAAATACTGTGTATGTATTAAGGGCACCTTGAAAAGTGTATGACAAATATTTCAAACTTAAAGAAAAGGGAAATGTATGGAGAGATCAAGGCTCAGTGCTACTTGGCCAGGGGCCAGAGAGAATCTGCCCCTCCGGGTGGCAAGCTGGGGAGGGGGCTGGGAGAGGAATGTGTTTTTCTGCATCCAACTCCTGAAAAATGCCAAAGTCAATTTCTCAAGTCAGTTCACGGTGTCCTGGTATATTCACGGGCTAGAAGGTGGTGGCTAACTTTCACTGAGGCTTGAATTTTGTCCCTAATCAGCCGTGTGACCTGGGGTTGGTCCCAAATGTCTCTGAGTCTCCCTTCCCGCATCTGGGCAGCTGGGTCTCCGGGTTATTCACGTCGGCCTTATTCTGCGTGGCACTGTACAGTTTACCAACTGCGGGGTGCAGAGAGCAGAGCTGTTGAAGCACCTAGCGCGACAGGAGGTGGATGCGGAGAGTGGGGCGGGGGCGTGGGGGCGGGGCACGCTCCGAGTGCACCGCGGGCGGGGGATTACGACGGGTCTGCAGACTCGGGTTTGACCAAGTTAGCCTTTCTACCCATGCGAGTCGCCTGAGACGGGGAAAGGCAGCACGGGGCTGGCGAGCGGGAACTTCGCTTCAGCTAGGAACCCCTGCCACTTAGGCTCCTGCCGCTTAGCTGTGTGTCAATTAATTACAAATCTGGATTTCCGTGGAGTTCGGTCCTTCCTCCCCTCCCGCGTGTTCCCGCCCGTTTCATGGGGTCGTGCTGAGAGTGGCGTGTGGGAGCCACTCTACAGATACGGGTTTTCCCAAGTCTCACTGTGCGGCGGGGATCTGCCACACGTTCTCACTCTCCCTAAGAGGGAATAAGCTAAAAAGTGTACACCCTCCTTTCGCGACCGCGGCAGGACTCGAACCTGCAATCTTCTGATCCGAAGTCAGACGCCTTATCCATTAGGCCACGCGGCCGCCTGGCGACAGGAGCTTTCCGCGCAACCTAAAGAGTATTATTACCGCCCACAGGCTGGCCCGAGACTAACCCACCCGCTTCTGGAGCGGGGGAGGCTGGACCGTGATTCCCAGGGAGGGCCCACCCGGAAGTTCTCCTTCTCCCCCCGCGGGCGGACCGCTCCATTGGCGGCCCCCCTATTGGTCGCGCTGGGAGTCTCCCGCCTACCTCTCGGGTACCCGCGGGCCAAGCGGGGCGCAGACGGGAAGTTGCGGCTGCCAGCGGGGCTGACTGGCCGGGTTGGGGCCACACGCCACCCCGAAGCTGCGTAGGCCGCGCGGAGGGGGACACCGCGTCGTCGGCCTGGGGTCGGGGGAACCGCAGACCGGGAATCACCGGGCAGACCGAGGTTTCCGGCGGGTTCGGAGGAGGGGAGGCCAGGTCGCCAGCGGCAGCGCGGCCCCTCCCTCTCCAGTCAGGGAGCGAGGCCCGGAGCCGGGCGGCGGCTCGTCCCAGGGCGCACCGCGGCGTCGCCGCGGGG